TGAAAAACCAGGTTAGGAAGAAATCATCATGGAGAAGAACTGTCTTAGCCAATTCTAAGCCAAGGGTGTTATTAGATGCTGGGTCTATTACAGCTGAACCCTACAGTATCTACAGTATCTTGTCTCCATTGTCTCAATGTAGCCCTTCAACCACATGTTTCTGTCCATGTCTGCTATTAATATGTACTTAATATGAAATTGGCATGTTCTTATTTCATTGGTTCAGAGTGAATGATAGCTTGTGAAACCACTTCAAGTTGATTCATAAGATCTGAAGAAGAAAACAACCCTTTTTTGCTTTTTCTGACTCAGTTGGAACACAAAATGTTTCCCAGCTACACAATGTACCCTACCTAATCAAAACTATGCCAGATATGGAAAGCAACCCATTCTCAGTAGCTTGTGCAAATGAGATAAGTTGCAAATTTTATATGCAATAGAAGATGTAGAACTTTTGGGGAAATGAGGAAAGTAAGAAAGAGATTTCATTTCCTAATTCTATTAGATTCCATCACACTGAATTAGCTTTGTTTCTGTCTGTTAAGATTTCTTTCTTAAATTTCTGTATGTGTTGTTAGAAACAAATATATAGAAATGCCACTAAGCTACTGGTTCATATGCTTTCAATGTATAGTGTATGAACTCATGGACACCACTGTAGATTTGTCACTGATGTGCAGGGATTGTATGCTTCACTTAATGACCATGGCAAAAAAAGACAAACATTGAATGTGATTCACTTAACAGCCACTTCACTTAGTAACAGAAGTTCCAGTGCCAATTGTGGTCATACATTGAGGACTACACGTAAATACAATGGAAAAAAAAGAAACTTGAGTTTTACAAATAGTTGGCAAAATCGGCTATAGCAAAGATAAACAATATTGCTTTGATGACTACGTGGATATGTGCTGGTTTTCTCTCGGTTTTGTGTGTGTGTGTGTGTGTGGTGGGGGGGGAGAGAGAGAGATCGAGAGAGAGAGATCACCATCCTTATCTTCACCTATTTCACCTCATATGGAACCTGAGCCTGTAGACATTTCTTCCTTAAACTTTCAGCTACTTCATCTTTGAGATACTAAAATTTTCAAAGTCAAACAAAAAGAAAATATGCAGGTTTTCCTAAAGACATCTGCCACGAGCTCAACTTCTGGCAGAAGAGACCTTAATCCTTAAGATCTGGTTTAATTAATGTGATCTTCCTGAAGAAGCAAGGTTTTCACTGGAATATAATTCTTGTTCATTTGCTAATGCTACATGTATTGAGGAGGGATCTGAATTTCCTCTTGCATTAACTTACCAAGTATCTAAAACTCTTGCTCCCTTGTAAGTCGCAGTTTGATCCTGGAAGCATCTCTAGAAGACCTAGACACTCTCTACAATGGTGGTTCCAAGCTTCCAGTTGAAGCAACACCAAAACTGTCTCAAAGCCCTCACAGGACCTGCAAGTTATGATAACATTCTCTGTTGCCAACTCCACATAACCTAGTTATAATTTGTATTTCTAATCACAGTCAACGACAACTTGGCATTTGACCCATCTACTTAAAAATGTATATATTCCAATAATTCAACAAAAAAAGCAAATGAGTATCAGCCTCCCTGTTAGGCAAAAATTATTCCCTTATACATCTTTCTACTGTAAACATCTCTAAAGCATTATCTTCTGGGCATTTGTCTATCAGTTTCAAGGATATCTGGTGATTAGAAAGGTTTCCCCACAATTTCAACATATATTTGACTGTTGGCAATAGTCTTTAACTAGTTTTTCTGTTCATTCTGGATTTACTTGCTACTACCATATGTGCTAGTTGGATGACCACTGTGACCACTGTGGTGTCCATTATGTGAACAGTGAAAGAGATGCTGAGAGCTTGCACCCCCCAGATAATACCTCAGGTAGCCATGTTTTTACAGCATTTTTAAAAAATGGGTAAAGTAAGAGAGCTTGAAAATACGTACTTTTGTGCTATTCTGGTTGTTCTGTCTTACCTATTTTTAAAGATTGCTTTGAATTTCAAAATCAAAGGGAAGCTATCGTGCTGCAAAAATGAAATCCAGTTTTGAACAAACTTAATGTCCAACAATGTATTTACGTTCCACATTATTTTGGTGTCTGCAGCACCTTGCTTTTTTCCTGTTATTATATCAGTGTTTTGTGATTAAATCAACTCATCATGGCAAACATTTTATGAGAACACTCATAAAATATTTCAAAATTCTAAATGTGGCCCTACATCCAAAAATACAGGGGAATCTGCATGCACTGAGAATTGCTAATAATTAGTTACTGGTATATGTATTTCTACATACATTGCTGGTGCTTCTCAGTTTCAAGTCATAGTTGCACAGACTGCTCCACTTTTTCAATCGTTCTTTAAGTCCATTCACTGTAGCTTCCCACAGGTTGAGGAATCCTATATGTCTTCATTTCTTTATGATAATTGCTCCACCAAAGTTCACGAGGAGCCCTGAAGAGCTTACTGAAGAACTTCCTTGAATTCACCATGGAAGCCTAACAAGGGCCTTCGTTGAAACAAGCCAATTGGTTGTTGAATCCCATCAATGCTTATTTTTTATATTCACAATGTTATATTCCCGAAGTGAATATACAGCAGGGTCTGTTAGATTATTGGAACCCCAACAAGAGCCATGGATGCTATGCTACCAATCTTACTGGATTTGTCTACTGCATTTGAAATATTTTTCTCTGCTTTAACTCCTACAAATTCTAGAAGGCTGCAAAAATGTGTAGTACATCTACTAGTTCAAAACCAGACATAAAGAATTGGATTCATCCTATCTTTCTACCCTTTCAGGAAACCTTTTGAATTAAGCAGCTCAGGTTGATTTTTCTCTATTCATATTGTTTTCTCAAACGTATCTTAAAAGAAGAATGGTTGAGATACCATTTTTATTATCCCTGTTGAAGACTACTGTCTACACAAGGCAGAGAGGATTTCATAAAGTTCACGAAACACTTGATGTCTTAAGCCCAGGATCTTCTGCTCATGGCATTTGGCATATTCTCCTATATCACCTGTCATAATTGCTGAGGTGTCCCTGAAGGTATGGTTATGTTTCTGATATTGCTAGGATGAATAGAAAAGCCATACTTCCAAACTGTTAGTCTCCAGATGTACTAACACCTCAAATTCTATATGGAATTTCTGAAATTTGTAGACCAGTAGACCTATATAGCATCAGGTTAAGGACATCAATTACCATCGTTTGGAAATGACTATTCAAATGACCCTTTCCATATCTTTTTTTCATAGATTCCACTGTAGACTCATATACTGTATGGTGTATGCTAAAACATTGTATGCAAAGTCTTCAAAATATGTTATGATCACATTATCCTGGAATGAGAACTTTGAGGAAGAAAAGAACAAAATCCATATTCCTCAACCATAGCTGCTTGAGCAAAAAAAGTCTTATTCTGTGAAGTTCAAAAAACATTTTATTAATATTATATAGAAAGGTTCTGTTTGCTATCAAAACAGAAAGGAATCTTAAGCAAAGTTTTCATCTCAGTGAAATGATTTTTTAAAAAATTTCCCTAAGAGAAAAACCTAAAGGTTTTTTTTTTAATTTAAAATGTTTTATATAAAGCCATATATGCATTCCCCTCACCCCAACTCTCCTTATTTATTATACCAGGCAACATGAATATGAACCTGACACTATTATATTTGATACAGCATAAGAGATCGTTTATTCAAATTGTAGCTCTTATTTTTTGCTTTAAAAACTTACACAGCTTTATTTCAAAAATATCCAAGATGGATTTGTTTTGGGTTTTGCTTTAAAAAAATAACCTTTCCTTTTTGACAATAGCTTAAAATGGCTTTAGAGCAACATACAACTATTAGTTTATTTTAAAAAAAATAACTTAAAATTATTCTGAAGTATTTTAAATATCTCCCTAACTTTTAAATAAAATATTTATCTGGCATCATTTTTTAAAAAAAAAATAACTAAATGAAGGTCAGCTTCTCAATTGGAATAAAATGCATGTATGTTTTTTTTTTTGAGAGGGGGAGAGATTTCTAAATTCAAACCTGAAGTAACTTGTTTGATGGTGAAATAAGCAGAGACCAAGACAGCAAAGAAACTTTGGTGTTATTCCCCCTTGTTATTATAGGTTGTCAGATTTTGCTTTTGACCAAAGCAAAAATCAGGATTCCTACAATGTACTCCTCATAATTATATGAAAATAAATTCCACTGATATCAGTGGGCTCAAATTCAAGAAATGGAGGAATGATTATGTAGCCTTACTCTATAGTACACCTGGAATTATCTAGGATGATTGGCACTTTTTTCCCCTCTTCATGATCTCTCCATTCCTTGACACAAACTTTGTCAACTATACTTGGCCTGGAGCAAAGAATCCATGTCTTTGATATCCCAATTCTATGTATAATTAGCACTTCTACAATATAACTTATCAGTTAAGTGGAGAGCTTCAAATGTGGTTCACATATTAGCCTAAATCATATTTACAAGATTTATGCTTTGGTTGATTTTAACTTAGATTGCCATACAAACTCAGCTATAGTAGTTTGTTAACTTTGGTTAATTATTTACTATATTGTATGAACCCATTGGGCAAAGCATAGTTACACCATGTATTGTGTGACCCCATGCAGGTAGTCCTTGACTTACACTTCTTTCATTTAGCGACTATTCAAAGTTACAATGGCACTGAAAAAGGGGACTTATGACTGTTTTTCACACAGCATCCCCATGGTCACATGATCAGAATTTGTGTGTTCGGCAGCTAAGTCATAGTGGTGATGATTGTAATATCCTGGGGTTATGTGCTCATTTTTTGCAACCTTCTGACAAGAAAACTCAATGGGGAAGCCATATTCATCTTACACCTGTTTTAGTTGTTACTAACTTAACAAGTGCAGTAATTCACTTAACAAGTGTGGGAAGAAAGGTCTTAAAATGAGGCAAAACTCACTTAAAAACTGTCACTTTGCTATATTTTAGGCTCTGGTTTAGCATGTTAAATGAAGCCAGGAATTCTGGTTTGTTAACCATGAGTTGTGATTTAATGTTAAGTAAATCAGGCTACTAGAGTTTATTTTTAAAAAATTGTCAAAAACCCTTGGTTTAACAGTATGTGCTGAGAATTATAAAGGAGATCAGTTTGTTTTTTTGTTCCCTTGTGTATTGGAATTCTTCATTTATTTTTATGGTGTGAAATATCTACCTAAAAACTCAAGACAAGACTATTAACCGGAGGTAGTATAGAACTGAGAACACTTTTTTCTTTTCCATCACCAGATGAAAAACCAGTACAAAAGTTTACTTTTTCTTTTTTTTTTTTCTTTTTTAATCGGCAATAAAGAGTGCATTCAGTATAAATTCAGAATAAACATGGGTAAGGTCAGTATTGTTTTTTTCCGGGTTCCCACAGCCTTTTTCTGTGCTAGCCAGTAGCACTACTGTATACTGACCACTTTGATACAACATCTACCTGACTATGAAGTGAATTTAATCCTAAAGAGATTACAAAATCTATCACATTAATAGTTGTTGACGTCTATCTCTCCCTTTCATTGTGTAGAACATTGCTATAATTTTCAGTAGGACAGTATTTCCCAGATGGTGTGTAAAATGAGGAAGAGTTGGATAGCTTACATTGTTCCCATTCCCAACTGCATGGCTAAGTAACAGTTCAAGGCTATTCCTGTCTTAGGCATCAATAACTGATTGTTATTTGCAGCCAATCAGAAGACAATCTTTCAGAAGACACATGAAGTTGATACCTCTCAAAACCACTCTGCTTGGGGAGGTCACCAACAAATAGAACAAAGCAAAACCAAAATACATAAAAGGAAAAAAGGATATTTTCCCCTCCTTTTCTCCTTTTCCATGCAGCTCTTCTTTAACCATGCTGAGAGCCACCCAGATGATAGTGGAGATTGGGAACAATTAACCCAGAGAGAAATCATCCAAGAAGTGGGTAACAGAGTTCTCTTGATGAAATCAATTTGATTGAAACACAACATGGGCTGCAAGTAGTTTCTCTCCCTTTCACATTTCTTTAAACCCCCTCCCCCAAGGGTCTCCCCTAATGTCTTAGCCCTGTTGCAATTCACTTGTTCCTGAGATGAGATGGAATGTGTACATGTCCTGTGAAACATATCAAAGGGTTTTAACTTGTTGCCTTCTGTTTGATTCTCTCTCTCTGTCTCCCTCATTCCATTTTTCCTGCTCCACTGGTTTCATTGAGGAGGGAAAGGAGGTTAATAAACTGCTCCAGGATTGGGAGGAGGCCCTGGAGATGGGTGATGCATAGAGCCAGAAGTGGGCGGAGGTCCCTGTTGTTGTAAGTGAGGCCCGTTCAGATTTTGATGCTGGAACCAAGAATTATGATCTTCCAGGTAGCTTGGGGTAGAGTTATAAGAGAGTGGCTGGGGGATTTGGCTCCTGCTGGCTGGGTTATTATGAGTATTACTGTCCCAGAGGGCAGGAGATGGTGGAGAATTACAAGCCATGGAGTCACTGTTATTTGGGCTGTGTTCCAAGGGGACCTCTCCATTTTTGTACAATTTCTTAAACTTTGATCTACGATTCTGGAACCAAATTTTCACCTGCAAGAAAAAGAGAACATTATTTAATTTGCAGAATAGGCTGTGGTCTATTCTATTCTATTCTATTCTATTCTAAGCCAGTCCTTTCCCCACCAAAAATAGAGCTCCGCATTTCCTCCATCAACACAAGGAAAAGTATTATTTGTCCAGTTCAAGGAGAGGTCTGTGGCTCAGTGGATTCAAGACTTTTCATGCAACAGATAATGGGCTCAAATCCTGGCATTTTCAGATATTTTCTTGGAAAGGCTGGATTAGATAGTTCAAAGATCTGATATGGATTCACATATTGTATTAAACCATGAACTACAACTATGCCTGACTGTAGAGAGGCAAGGCAACATTTTGTTTTGTTTAGTTTTGGCTTAGCATAAACAGTGAATCTAATTACTATTCCTCAATCTAACTCTAAAATGCAGAAAGTTTGTGAGAGTAAATCACAGGGGTAATAGCAATCTCTGCTTTAAACTCTTTCTAGGAATGTGTAGAAGAAAATAAGCATATCCCCCTTTCCTTTTGAAAAGTGGGACTACAAGTCAGTTTCTAAAAATGGTCTATCAATCATTGTATTAATAGAAGCAGGGAACTGTGGCTCATTGCAAAAAATGTCAGGTGACAAAAGCTTGCTCAAAAGGTTTTACAAGTCTTTCAAGGATGCTAAACATTGGGATTGGGAAGACTGTCATGATGAAATTTAGGGCAGGGCTGGAATACTGGCCTAGCTGGCTGGAAATCTTTCCAATACTACTGTAGAGTTGTGTGACTCCATCTACATCCCACTCTAGAGAAAGAGTATCAGTAAAACAAAAGAAAGTGGGTGGCAGGTAGGAAGAAAGAATAAAGGATCAAACATAGTAGAGACAGAAACTCTTCCTAATCAAAACAAGGAAGCAGGAAGACTTGGGGACATCTGTTTTGTTTAATTGAGAAACATCCATTTTTCTTCTGTGGGCAGGAGAAATCTCTCTGCTGTTAGTAATCAATGGAAGAGCCATGGTGGCACAGTGCTATGAATGTAGTATTGCAGGCTAATTCTGCTGACTGCCGACTGCCAGCAATTCAGCAGTTTGATTCTCACTGGTTCAAGGTTGACTTAGCCTTGAGGTTGGTAAAATGAGGACCCAGACTGTTGGGCACAATATCCTGATTCCGTAAAACAGCCCAGAGAGGGTTGCAAAGCACTGTGAAGCAGTATATAAGTCTAAGTGCTATTGCTATTGTTTTGGAATTGGCATTTTTTTATTCTGAGCAATCAATTAAAATGCAGCTATCTTGACTGGCTAATAATTCTTTAACCTGCAATAGGATAGGATTGTGAACTCACAAGAACAGACCATATGATTTAATCTGAAATAATCCAAAATCATTACAAATTGTTGATAACAGAGGAACAATCTCCAGTGTCATACTTTTTATATGTCTGGACTTCAACTATCAAAACCCCAAACAAAAGGGAAAAGGTGTTTCTGGACCTTTTTAATTCTAGTAAAGTGCATCAAATCTATTTCTGCTCAAGGTGGAAAAGTACAATGTGTCAGAATATTTTTTAGTAAAGGAACTGCAATTAATAGATGATTCTTCCATTAGTATTCCATTTTAGAGGGTGATAAAATATACAAAGGCAGCAACTATGGTGAACATATGCAAGTATGTATGAATGTCAGATAGTAAAAAAAGAAAAGAAAAAACAGAAGGGAAAATGCTAAAGAAGAAGTGGAAGGACAACTGATAAGACTCAAGGATATCATTCAAATCTACAAGATTAAAGAAAGAGCTCCCCCTCATGTCCAAAGAAAACTACATTCTCGGTATTTCTTTCATTTTCTAAAATCTGACCTTAGAAAAATTCCTACCAAACTAGGATGGAAGTGATGAGACTTCCATAGTATATAGTGATGTATTTTAATTAAGACACATCAGAAATTCGAAGCCTGTGCATCTTGGTGATACTTTCCAAAAAACACCACCGTGTATGAAGGTGTGAAGTATTTGTTGCTAGCAAAAAGCTCTGACCAGTGAAGTTTGGGGAATTCTTCGGTGCCTTTCCAAAAGTCAGCTGGACTTTCTTAGTTTATTCACTTCTCATCCAGAACTGAAGAAGCTTCTTGGATGAGAAGCAAACCATTTTCAAGGAATAAACCAAAAAAGTCCAGTTATACCAAAGTGAAAGATTATATCTCATTTGTTATAGATGGCTGTAAGTATATTCTAATACCTCGGGAATTATGGGTTGGGTTATGAAATTCACACTAGACAATGTATTTAGGCAAATAGTAGATACCATACATTTAATGCAACATTGTGTAAAATGATTCAAGCAAGCTAAGCGTGGAAAAAAATGCAATTTGTCTCTGGTGGTCACCCAGGGAAGGGAGGAAATTCTTGCTTTGACAATCATATGGCTACCTCATACTCAACATGAACAAAACCCATCCTGTATGGGAAAAACTTCAGATGATTCAGACATATGAGCAAAGCATCAGGCCACCTCCTACCACCACCACCCTTGAAAAAAAAAGTCTAACGAAAAAAACTTGGGTCAGTGACCATGGTGACCCTAGGGGAAAATTCCTTCCTGACTGTCATGGGGCAGTCTGTGTTTGTAGGAACAAAAACTCATCTGTACACCCCGAGAGCATTTTGTTGGGTGCAATTTTCGATGTGTCAGGTTGCCACCACTATGCTATGCTCTTGACCTATCAGAATCCGGAAGCACGCCAACTTGCTCCCTTAATTTAGATCAAAGCAATTAAGCAGCCTTGTTTTCCTCAGGGTGCTTGGCTGGCTCCGCATTCCAGTCCAGCTTCTTTACCAGCCCCTCGTGACCTGCTTAAGGAGGGAAGGCTTGTGGGAGAGGATGACACACAAGATAGCTTCATGTCTGAATGTGGGAGCTGAAACAGAGGAAGCTAACTTGGTTGGGTGTGTGTGTGTGTGTGTATCACCAATCACACATGATGTTTTGGAATATCGCATTGAGCAGTGTGAGTGAGCATTTGGCAAAAGGCCAGAATATTTTAATAGGAGTCCAAAGAGTATAGTTTTCCTCACATTTATTAAGTTGTAACATCTCTACAGAATTGAAGCTCGGTTTGCTTAAAATCTAAGCTTATGATAAAAGATACCTTTCTACTTTGGGAACCATCCTAATATGCCCCTTTTTCTGAATTATGATTGAGAAAAGAAAAAGTCATTCTCATAGCCTAAGTATGTTATGGCCTTTGAATTAATCTGCAAATGTCAGCCACTGCCAAATTAAACTATACGAGCAAGAACTAAGGAAAAATATTTTTATATTTATATTTTGGGAAGCTTCTGCAGGAGAGAAGATTCCTTCAGTTTATACAAGGATTATTCAGGAGGTTTTGTTTTTTTCTTTTTGGGGACATACCTACCAATTTATCAATACCCTATATTAAAATGATACCTTGAGAATTTCTTATGTTGTTCTATGATTCCAACCAATCCTGATGTTGACCATGGTGGCTACTACTAATGAGAAAAAGTCAAATGAGTAGCCCAAAAACCTTGATCTCTGATCTAGAAGGAACTTTCCAAGATTTAAAATAAAATTGTTCTCACTGTTAGGAAGTTTCAAACAGATAATCAGAGTTGGAAGGGACCTTGTGGGTCATCTAGTCCAGGGATCCCCAACCTTTTCGACGCCGCGGCCCGGTTCCGGCGTCAGCTGGGCGCCGCGGCCCGGTTCCGGCGTCAGCTGGGCGCCGCCATCTTTTTTTGACGAAAAATCACTTCCGGTGACGTCACCGGAAGTGATTTTTCATCAAAAAAATGGCGGCGCCCAGCAACCAGCGGCCCGGTAAGGCTTGTTCCGCGGCCCGGTACCGGTCCGCGGACCGGCGGTTGGGGACCCCTGATCTAGTCCAACCCACCTGCCCAAGCAGGAGACCCTACACCATTTCTGAAAAATGGCAGTCCAATCTCTTCTTGAAAGTCTCAAGTGACCTTATCTCCTAATCCTCTAAATTTGTGTTCTTTAACTTGGCAACTTTTAAGATGTGTAGACTTTGCTGGTTAGGGGGTTCTGCTTTGCTGGAGACCATGCTGGCTGGGGAATCCTGGGAGCTGAAGTTGAAGTCTACACATCTGAAAGTTGCCAAGATTGAGAAACACTGGCTCAACAGAAGAGTGCTTTGGACATTTCTAAAATGATGGAAATATATTGTGGGTACATACCCCAAAGGGGAAGTTGCAATCTTAAAGTTTGAAAAACATTGATTTAAAGGAAGGCTATGGTCCTCTTCATACTTACTTGGGAACAAGGTCACTAAACATAGGGAATGAGATCCAGATCAGATCATGTTTAGAGTAGATCCCATTGCAATAAATGGAACTCCAATAAGCTGTGATTAAACCTAAGTCTTATTCCTTTCAAAAGGTCTGTTGGCCATGACTATGTCCAGATCCAGCTAATGATTATATCAATCCAATAATGCAGTGCAAAGTACATTATCTAAAATAATTTCAAACAAACATATCCAGAACTCAGAATGGGCCAAAAATCTAATATTTTACTTTGAGGATCTTTGCTAGATAACTATTGAACTAAAGAAACACATATTACTCATATGGATTTTTTATAGAAATGTGTTAAATATTTAAAACCTAAGATGACCATTTAGTTCAAGTTATCTGAGAAGAATCCGCAAAAAATGAATGGTGAAAAAGGCATCCTTGTTATAGGTGATACTTTTCATATAATTTTGTAGATTCTAAGATTGAAGAATCTAGTAAGGATAGATCAGATTAGGTTTTTTTTAAAAAACAAATTTTTAAAATTGTATTATAACTTTTACATTATTGTTTTATGGCATTCTGATTAAAAGTTAAGCCCTGACAATAAAAAGTATATTTTACCCTGATTTCATCCCTGTCTAAGAAGTTACTTTTTGGCAATCCAGCCTTGTTTATTAGTTTTCTTTTTCTTTTATGTAAACATATCTAGGCTGCATTGATCTGGATGACTACTAGATGGCAGTAAGCTTTCTTGTATCTCTTTGCTGCCCTCTCATGGTTGCCTGAATTTTTGGAGGCAAGATATGATATGTCTCTAGCCTCATATATATTTATTCATTTATTAAAGGGAATTTTCAGATCCATTTAGTTTTAGCCTTTTTACTAAACTCCTAAACTTGCACTCCTATTTCACTCTAGGGCCATACAACCTCACATACAGCATCAAGGGCTACTGGTGAAAATATAAGAGTTTGTTTGGGGATAGTGTATGCTGTTGTTCCTTTTGTTCTTCCCGTTTTCTTTTGGCTTCATTTTGAATTAGTCGACTGAACATTAGGATAAATGAAAGGAAACATTTTGATAAAAGGATAGTAGCCTAATGTTGAATCCAAAACCTTCCCAACAAATCTAAGCTGTCTAGTCTGCCTTAGATATTTGATGGGTTGTCTAAATCTTTGTTTCCCATTGCTATCTTTAGATAAACCATTAATTTTCTCTGGATTACAAATTGGCTATATAGCCAAGACAAATAGCTTGAGCTCTTACAACACGTCAAGCTAAAATAAAATTGACAATGTAGTCATGTAAACTTAATCAGTACAAACCATTTATAGTTCAGTGTATCCTTGAATAAAGCCAATGGGAACAGTGAAAGATGCATCTTGCTTTATTACTCCACTGGATGTTGCAAGAAGGTATTTATGTATTTTAAAAACATTTATAATTATAGTGAAAACTTGGGTGCCTAGTGGCTACGTTTATGCATAGTGCTTCGGTATTCAATTAATCCATTTTCTGAGTTCTCACAATATACTAACATATAAATTAACCAAATGAATACACAGCTAAGTCACCAATTGAAACTTTTTTTAAAAAAAAAAAAATCCCACCCTCAGGTTAAAGGCAGCGTTTGCTTCCATGTATATATTACCTCATTGCTTTAGCTCTTATCAAACAAAATGAAGAACTTTAGAAATATTTTCAGTCTAACAGATCTTATCCATGGTTGTTTGGAAATACATCCCACTAACTTTGAGTAGCTAGGCTCCAAGGTAAGTGTACTAAAACTGCAGACTCATGTATCCATTCATGATTTCCCAGAACTCTTCTGCATCTTAATTGGTCCCAAATCATTTTGCAAAAGATTGTAACTTTGCTCTGAGGCAATAAAAAAAAAAAGATGAAATACCACTCAAATCAGTAAATTTAATTCATGGTGTAATAGCTCTATGGCTTCTATTTTTATTTTAAAAAAAAGAAGGCGGGGGCAATGTCTGTACCAATAAGACCTGCTAGAGAAACTAGAAACTGAAGTCCAGAAGATCTGGGGGGTTCCTGAGCTGAGAAAAGGGAGATTTGAACAAGAATCTTTTTTGAACAAGAATCCCTTTTCTCAGCTTGACCTGCACTTTGGTGAGTTGTTTCCCAGGCAGAGAGGAGGCAGTGAAGAAGAACGTGTCTTCTCACCATTCACAGCTAAGCAAGGAGATGGAAATTCAGCAAGTGGAGCTTGCATAGAAATGAGGACTTCCTAAAATTCCCTCTTCAGCACAGCTCTGAAAAGTGAAGTCATCTTTTTCTGCATCTTAACTGTCTTTCAACCATAGTTCCTACTTTGCAAAATGTGAGTTTGAGACCCCTTTTCAGAGGACTTGTTTTTTTTTTAAAGAAACGTGTATCTATAGTAAATAAAAACATAGTACATGGAATATTGTTCCTTCTGTCAAATGGCAACTAGCAACCTTTAGACTCAGCAAGGCCCACAATAACCAGTTGGCCCACTGATGTTCGTCTAAAGACTAACAATGAATTCTTTTTCCACTCAAGCCAACTTCCTTCTTGGAGTCATCAATTCTCTTGGCCTAAGCTCAGTTAGCTTCAGGAGGAAAAAAGGGGGAACCTGCCAAAACACATACTGGAGGTTGCCTTGCCCCACCCACATGTTTCCTGCAGCAATGCTCCTCCGCCTCTCTGGCTAGTCAGCATACCATTCTGGATCTTTGGGTCTCATCCAGATACAAGTAGGCTACAGGACTAAAAGGACAGAGAAAAATGACTTCACTCCTTCCCATCTTTGTTCTGTCCCAGCTTGCTTACTGTGGTTCTATTATTACATTTTGTGTCGATGGCATCTCATGCTTTCTCTAATTAGAACTGTCATCATATGACAACAGAGGAACTCACCACCTCATTTCTGTGATCCTCTTCATCCTAAGTCAATACTGTGTTTAGGCAGAATCCACACATTTTTAACTTCTCAGCATGCAAAAAGCTATCTACCATAAATGGTTAACAGTCCTGAAAAACAGTAGACTCTCTTGTTTTTTTAACCCATATGTACACACATATAAAGTGACCTATTTAAAGAAGTGAGAAAACAAATATGGAAAAATCATTTACAAAATATAATGAAAAGAGAAGAATGGATAGATTGGAGGAATTTTAATAACTAGACACTAGTGAACTGATTTTAATTCAACCAATCTGTAAACCCCAAATGATTATGAAATAATTTTTTAAAAATAACAAGGTTAGACAGAGCATTAATTGTCAACCTTGGAGGTTTTTTTTTTATTTAATTTGATCTTTTCCTTTTTCAAAACACACTGTGGATTTTTACTAATTTTCAAGGTCTAAAGTATTGCATTTTGAAATTTTGTTGGCATTGCAATGATGTACATTTCTTTACCCTCACGTTCAAAGGTGAAAGGCTAAACAAAACTGCACACATACTTTTTCTGTCTTGTGATCAGCCTTCCTTCCAGTTTCTAAAGTTTTACCTGTGTCTGTGTTAGTCCAAGTTGTGCAGCCAACTCTGCCCTCTCTGGCAATGCCAGGTACTGTGCCTTTTGGAATCGCCTTTGCAAAGCTGCCAGCTGGTAGCTAGAGTAAATTGTGCGAGGCTTTCGGATTTTTTTGGGTTTTCCATTGACCATTCGCACTTCAGGTTCAGGTTCTTCCTTCACTGAAGCTGCAAAAGTGAGACAAAAGAAATACTCTAGGAGAGAGAATCCAAATAGCAGAAGAAAGTATTGTAGTGACACTGAAAAAGAAAGTACTGCTGGTTTCTAAACCTTTGATAAAATATGTATTCCAGCTGTAGAATCCATGCTTTGTTCCAGCAGAGGAATACTAATTCTCAGCCACTAATCTGCTGGATAGGTCAAGGATAATTTGATTTATATGACAAAAGAACAAACCCTATATTAAAAATAATTTACTATAATTCTCCTGGAATTGTAACTTTTGCTCTTTTCAAGGAGACATCTATTATTTCTATCAATTACCAGCAATCTCAGGCAAGACAATCTGTCCTTCCAATAATTTCAAGAACTTGCTGTTTACCTCCCTATTATCTTTTTCTACACACTTATTAAGTAAAACAAGATGCTGAAATGCAGCCAGCATCTGCCTCTGCATTATCACTTTAACCTGCACATTCCTAGCTATTACTTCTCTCTTCTATCGAAAGTCAGACCAAGGATGAAAGAGGGTCTTAAAGGACTATGCAAAGGATTCTGCAGGAGGTGTGCTGAGCAAATACATTAAAACTAAGCCTCCCTCCTCTCAGTGGAATTTACTCATGTGTAACTCTTATCAAAGAGCAGCTGTTTCGTAGTTTGTATGGAGCTAGTTTGAATCATATCATTGCTTGCTTGTTGGTGTAAGTCAGAATAAACTAAAGTTCAGAGGTTCTACTATTCAATTTACTGAACAATTAGGACAAGGTGGAATTCCATTTTTAAAAAAAGGATTTCTGAAAATTGATTAAACTTTTTATTCTTTCCTTCTTTTGCTCAATGTCTCTCCCGCCCCCACCCCTGCTTTTTATTATTTTTCCTCCAATTCATTTTTCTTTTAGGCTGTCCTTTCTCTCCCTACCCTTTTTTTTGTTCTTTTTTTTTTTTAAAGGACCAAGTCAGAGTTCAATTGCAGGATACAGCCTACTGCTTTGCTCTGTCTTAAGCTTTCTATCTCAGAAATGGACTTCTCCATGCTTCCGTTTTGACCTAGCTTTATTTTTTTTTAACAATTTATTTTCTGTCTCACTGGATGTATTTGATGTGGTTTTTTTTTTCCCTCTTTGGCAGGAAGCATTGTCCAGTTACATTGGAACCACACAACCCCGTATTCCCTTCCTGAAATATTTGTGGGGAATGGGGGCGTAAGTTATAGGCCTCAGATGGTTGTAGCCAAAATCTACATGCTAGTTCTCTTTAAAGATAGAATTCTATCATTTTCATCTTTACACCATTATTTTCGCAGTTGTGTATTTTGTCTTTACGTTTCCAATTTTTATGTTACTCCTTTCCCAGTTTTTTAATTCATAAAAATAAACAGATGTCCTTACAGGTACCAAATTGTGGGTGTTGATATCAAGATTTTAACCAGCAAAATAACAAGTTTTATACACATCACAGGTCTGTGTGGGAGAGAAACAAGCTACTAAAAAAATTAGCACATTTGGTAAAATACTGTTTTAGAAAAAATGTGGGGTTTTTGTTTTTTTTTAAGGAGAAGGGGAAACTGGATTATTTTTTTGTCTCAGGAAAAAAAGTTTCAGGCTTAGCATTATTTTTTCTTTAAGAAAAAAAATTCAACCCCTCCCCTTAAACAAAAGATGGAATTTAAGGTATTGTTGCAACAATAGCATTTGCACTTTGTAAATTAAAGAGTAGCCATGAACTAGCACACAAAACTGGAAAAAAATGTGCACCCAGGAAAAAAAAATAGTTAAAGGGAAAGGGGGAGAAAGGCTGTTTGAGCACCGATCTTGAACCACAAGGGATCAATCAGTCCTCTGAAGAACTGAGAATCTCCACTCTGGAAGGGGGGAAAAAGATGTGGAGCCCCAAACTTCCTATTGCTGAATTTCATAACTCCACAAATTCAAGTTTCCAATTGTAAAAGTATTTTTTTTTTTTTTTTGGTGGCAGAATCTGAATGGGGGAAGAAAAAAAAAGGAGGAAAAATGATTTCAGTTGTGCCTTAATTGCCTTTTACAAGTGAGTGGTGGATTGTGCCTATGTTTTATATATAAAGCACAAAACTCTGAAGGAAGAATAGAATCCCATCCAAGAATGTAATGGTTAGTGGCAGAAAAGTTTGTGTGTCTCAAATGTAAGAGGGACTCAGTTAAATTCATTTCTTTCCACTAGGACAATACTTTCTGGCAAGGCAATATCTCTCTCACATATACTCATTCACATATTCGTACCCCATTGTTTGAAATATCTCCAACAGAGTTGGAAGAACATTCCAATAGATTCCAAGCTATTTAATCTCCCTGAACCCCAAAACAGAGTTATCCACTCAAACTCACATACTCTGGACTTTTCAAAACTTTCGTTACCTGTTTCTTGACTGGGTAGCTGCTGATCCCGGAAAGGTCCATATTGTCTATATGAAGTGCTGTAAGCATAGTCAGATTTAGGGGAGTAGGTCCCCGTCGCCCCCATCCCATTGAAGTTAAATTGGGGGTGGTATGCATAGGGATTCATAGGCTGAGTATAAGGCTGGCTGGGGTAATATTCATGCTGAGTGTGTGGGGTGCTGTAATATCCCACGTCGGTGATGGACGATTCAGGAAGCGTAGGGGAATCTTTGGTGCCCGCATGGCAACTGATTGAGCTGGAAATGTCAGTCAAAATGCTGCTAATCTTCTTATCAAAGGGTCCACTCATGATGAGAAAAGCTCGCGAACGGAAGGTCCACGGCTTGACGCAGAAAACCAAAGAACTAACTAACTGGAGCAAATCTTTTCCACCTTCACGTCCTGTTGAGTAGTCTTACTCAGCCATGGTTCCAGGAATAGTATCAGTTGCTGCTTCGGCCGCCGCTGCTCTAACGATTGCCGTCCTCTAGAGAAAATGTGTAAGAAATCCAACCGCGCAAGCTTGCTTAAACCCTCTAATTAAGAGAAGGGTGGATGCTACATTCCGATTGGCTCCAGAAATATTGCCTTCAAGGCAAAACATGCTCTTCCCCTCCCTCGCTCTGTCTCTTTCTATCTCTCTATACTTTAAAAAAAGTATGGATTAGAAAATAACTACGCTCCCACCACTACCCTTGTAAGCACCTCTTTCTCCTTCTCCTGAGAACTCGGAACTGCTTGAGGGAGCCAGATGCCAGAAGTGGGGGGTTTTCTTCATCTCCCCTCTTTATTTGGGGAAAAGGATTTAACAGGATGGCTGGGGGAAGTATATATTGAAACGGGGAAAGAAATGGGGAAATTAACTCGTGGGTGTGCTGAGAAGCATATTTTGTTCATCCACTTTAAGGTGCATTTCAGATTTAGGAACTGATAAATATATTTTATTTGTGGGGGACCTGCTTCCAGAAAACCTGTCTGGGGTTTCTAAAATCACACAAACACACGCACAAATAGGGCATTATTTCTTTTTAAAAAACAAGTAAAATAGCCGTTCTTTTGCATCTCCTTAACACTTGATTATGCAACAATTATTCATTTGGGAAGCACTGTATAAATCTTCATTAGCCCCCACCCCAACAAAAGCAAATAGATTTTTAAAAAGTTAAAATTATATTTCACTACATTCTGTTAAGAGCAATGGAATACAATTTAATTATTTGCTGGGTTCTAGAGGACTTCCGTCATAATAAACTTTTAAAATTGGATCTTGAGAAACATGTTTCCCCATTTCTTAATCATCTCCTTAGATCAGGGGTCACAAACACAATTTACCTGGGGGCCGCTGGAGGCAGAGTCTGGGTGAGGCTGGGCCGCATAATATTATACTTTATATTATACTTTATATTTATATTATACACTAATATTATACTTTCATATCACGGTGGGGGCCACAGGATATCGTCCTGCGGGCCGCAATTGGCCCACGGGCCGCGAGAATGAGACCTCTGCCTTAGATAGACCACAGTGTATTAGACAACTAAGAAAATCAAGATATAACACACTCAGGAAATTCTTGGCTAAGTTTGGATCTGATCTTCATGTTGTTGTGAGGATTGCATCACCTTAGTGTGGAAATGGAAAGATGATAGATAGATAGATAGATAGATAGATAGATAGATAGATAGATAGATAGATAGATAGATAGATAGATAGATAGATAGATAGAT